AAATAGAATGTTTGAGTAACTGGCAGCAGGTGTGAAATCCATATCTCCCAGAAAGGAATGGTCACCTAAACAGGCACAGAGGTTTTTGCAGCCAGTGCTAGGTTAAACAGTTCTGGAATTTATGTAATATAAGTAAAAAGGTTTATACTATTTTGTATATTATTGTTGTTTGTTTTAAACGTATACATTGTTTCAATTATAAAATACTAGATAAGTAGCACAGTTTTTGGTGAAATCACTATCACATTTAATGTCCACCTATTTTAAATATAGCTCTCCACTGTATATATTTTTTCTGTAAAATCTGAATATATGTGCAACCTTTATTAGATGTGAGATCGGATAAAACTGATTATCGAAGCATACGTATCAAGCCCCAAATAAGGTCAAGCAGAACCCTCTTATGAAAAATGCCAATGATTGGGGGGAAATTGTGTGGGCTTTAAAGTCACGTTATTTCAAGAACAGTGCACTATCAATTTCCCTGCTAGGGACAAGATTATGTATTTTGGGGGGGAACATAATTGGCATGTGCGGCAAGCGCATTATGCCCTTCCCATAGAAAAGCATTGCATCAATGCTTTATTATAGTTTTTTTTTTTTTTACTGATGCTGGATATTTTCATGCAGATTGTGAGGATGTCCAGCGTTGTTTAAGGGACTTAGAGTTTGCTAGAATCCGGGAAGTGCCTCTTGTGGCTCTCTAAAAGAGGAAATTATTGCAGTTGCTCTCAAAAACTGCAATGATTTACATTTCTGAACTAAGTGAGACAGCGCCTAAACCACTTCAATGAGATGAAGTGATCTGGATGCCTATATAGTGTCCCTGTAACTTCTAGACATTAGATATGAGACAGGCATTCACTGTAAGAGGCCACACCCTGCCCAATTTATAGTTCTTCTATCTTTACCTTTTTTTAAAATATGTTTTAATATAAAAAAATAACATGCTTATATTATAAATTTAACTAGCTGAAATTATATTAATATACTGCTGTCAATGTAGGTGTATATGTTTTGCACTTACAATTTATTACTACAAAATGTTTATGTATGAATGTTGCTCTATGTATTCTGTGCTGTTGATATAATAAGGTTATATATATATATATATATAAATAATAATAATCCTTTGATAGTATAGTCTGATCCAGTTAAGCAGGTGGTTATATGAGTCGTCTTGAAAAACAAAGTTATTCCCCGCACTCTTAGGGATATGTGTATATGAATACAGGGTGTGGCATATATTCAAACATCATTTTCCTTAAAAAATGAAACACAAATGAAGAGAACAATTCATTGCTTGTCCATTTTTTTATTCGTTTTGCCCCAGGCATGGGAATTTAGTCACAGACTAACATGATAAAATCTTTCAGTTTGTGTGAATACATTCATTTCCCAGCATCCCTTCCCCTCTGTATCCCTAATTAGGAAGGACAGTCCGTATTTTGTCACCAAATCCATATATTTCATTTCTCTATACTAATATTCCTGGTTTATAGCAGCTCAATTTTTATTTTTTTTGGAGTATTTAATATAACTTCACAATAATAGTCTATGTACATATTTTGGTTGTTATAAATTGCATTCTCTTTATATAATTAGAGCTCTGTTACCATAACTCCGTTTAAAAACAGTAGTTCCAATAGATTGCTATAGCCTGGCTAGATAAAAGGACTATTGAATGGAAAAAGGGAATAGAGAAACACAAGTAATAATCATAGTCTTATCCATCTGCAAATTGCAGTCCACTGAGAGGGTGCAGTAGGTCCTCCTATTGCAGAATCTAAAGTAAATGAAGAATGCCAAATCCCATATGGGAATGAAGTAACAATACTTCAGTCAGCCCATATGACTTGCAAATGTTATATTAATTTATAAAAAATAGTTACAGAGGGAGGATCTAGAGATAGAGGATATTAACTTTTCGTGCTGATGTGGCACTTCACCAGAGCACTCTGTTACTCTATCTGTTGCTTCCCTCTCTGTAATTGTACCTTTTGTTAATAAAGAAATACAACTTTTGCAAATCATATGGGCTGATTGAAATACTTCATTGTAATTACTACATGAAGTAGTTTTACTTACTTGTAGGGGCCATTTTGAATTTGCTTACTGTTGTTAAAGGACCACTATAGTGCCAGGAAAACATACTCGTTTTCCTGGCACTATAGTGCCCTTAGGGTGCCCCCACCCTCAGGGTCCCCCTCCTGCCGGGCTCTAGTGGGTGGAAGGGGTTAAACTTACCTCTTTCTCCAGCGCCGGGTGGGGAGCTCTCCTCCTCCTCTCCTCCCTCTTCTTCCGTCACCGGCTGAATGCGCGCATTTAAAAAACAAATATGAATACCGCACTCAAAAAAATTGTTGTAGTGAAGTCTAAACTTGTATTGAATTGCAAAAATATTTATTATAATAGTAATTCATAAGTTAATCAAGTAGATCTTAGTGAAATTCATTCCAATCATATATACACATAGATTATTTACATATATACCCACAAAAACCTCCCTGTGCTGAATTTCATAAGTTATATATCTATATACACTGGTTACTGATCCAAAAACTGAAAAAATGAAATGTCCAGAGAAAAATACTGAATGATGAAAAAACAGAAAAAGAAAAAATGGAAAAAAGAAAAAAAGGAAAAAAAGGAAAAGAAAAAGAAAAAATTTATATATTCCAGTCCTATTAATAGTCCCAGATATAGTGCACTATATAATTCATATAATCCATAAGTATATGGATGGATCTCACCAAAAATACGAAAACTTGATAGTATATTCAGTAGGAGGATGGTAGATCATGTAGATGATGTAAATAGAGTCAGGGTGAAAATGTGTTGTAGCTCGATGAGAGAAGAAATCACTCGTCCATTCAATGGAATCCGGTCCGTCTGGCAGGTCTTATCCTGGGCTCATACTCGTAGGCAATCCTGTAATCGGGCTGAAATAGGCGGCTGAGATGGGCTGCGCGCTCGGGACGTTGCTGTCCCTTCGATGGCCCCTGTTCCTCTCCGTCCTGCCAAAGGGTAAATTTGTCAATTTAAACATCCTCATTAGGCGGCAAAAATCCGCCGCGACCACTCCATGCTACTACTTCCGCCTTCTGACGTTAGCGTACGTCGCTACGTCATACGCATTCAATTCAACTTTATTGATAACATACATTTTGTGTTGTAACAAAGTTAAAGGGAAATCTCCAATTGAAGATAAAAGTTAAACAACTAATAATTATGAAATACAAATAGTAACAAGGGCAATTAAGTAGTATGTAAAGAGTAGGTAGTGCTGGAAAGAGGTCTTAAACCAAGGAATCTAGAGTAAAAACCTGGAGAAAAAAGGAACAGAAAAAATAGTAAAATTTTTTTCTAAATAAATCTAACTGATGTATGGTTATTGTGTAGCTCACCTGTAACAGATGATCAAAAGAACAGGAATATCTGTAGCTATAAATCAGTAGAATACTCAGCTAAAAAAGGAAAAAAGAGAAAAAATGAAAAATGGATTGTCTATGTCTCATACAACAATGGAGTATTGACAAAATTCCAAAAAATATTTAAAGAAAAAGAAAAGAATAGGGAATAAAGAATAAAAATGGAAAAATAATATAGAAAAAATAGAAAAAATAATATAGAAAAAATATATTGAGTGAAAAGAAAATCCTCATTAAAAATTTTTTGGGTGTAGCTAAATTTAAAAAATTTATTGGAAAATGAAATGAAAATATAAATAAAAAATCCAAAATAAACTAAAGACAGAGTATGCAACTCACCTGTCTCGTAATGCCCCATCGTGCCCCTGGGTCCCATATGTGGGGAACCCTGTGCTGATGGCAGGTAGCGGACCCGAAAAGGTCAAAATGTTGGCAGGAAAGGACACCGGACCAAAATTGGTCAAGGGGAGCTTCTGTAAGGAGCAGAAAGTCATAGAGCAGGCTATAAATACAAGAGGAAGAAAAAACTTCTCATAAGAAATGTTTAAGGTCATAGTCTTCATTAAGTCCTAGTGGTGACAAAGTCTCCATTTAGTTTCTCTCTGTAGTAAGAGCTTCTGTCTATCCCCTCCTCTACGTAGAGGTGGGATTCTGTCCAGGACTTGAAACCTTAGTTGGTTTACGTTATGACCATATGTTTTAAAATGTCTGGGTACCGGAGCCTCCACTTTATTGTGTTGTAATGCTGCCCTAATGCTCCTTTTATGCTCCCCTATCCGCTCTTTCACTGGCCTGATGGTCTCCCCCACGTATAGGAGTCCACAGGGACACTTCAGGGCATACACAACATAGTCAGAGTTGCATGTAAAAAATTCTTTAACATAAAATTTCTTACCTGATCTGGGATGAACAAAATATTCCCCCTTGATCACACTGTTACAGTGTGAGCAATTTAAACATGGAAAAGTGCCCTTCTTAGGTTCTGAAAAAAATCTAGTTTGTTTCTTTGAACTGCCAATATCTGATCTTACTATCATGTCCCTCAGGTTCGAGGCCCTCTGGTATGCAAAAAGTGGAGATTGTTGGAATATCGGGGGTAATTGAGTATCTCCCTGAAAAAGTTGCCAATGTTTTAATATAACATGTCTTATCTCCTTATTGAGTGGGGTATATGGTGTTACCAACGTAATCCTTTCTGTTTTGTCTCTGGCCCCTGCACCTGAAAGGGTTTCTTGTCGAGACAGATTATCAACCTTTTGTCGTTGATTGTCAACTACATGTGTGGGATAGCCCCTCTCAATGAATTTATTGGCCATAAAATCTAAACCCGTCATCACTTTATCTGTGATACAATCCTTTTTACCCTTAACAATTGACTAAATGGTAATCCATTCTTTAGATGGATTGGATGAAAGCTTGAATAAGTCAATAAATTATTGCGGTCAGTAGGTTTTATATACAAGTCGCTATGAAGGCAATCTTGTACTCTCTGTACCTGAACATCGAGAAAAGGGACTGTAGTAGTATCACAACACATAGTGAATTTAATGTTTTCATCTTGTGTGTTAAGTGACTCAAAAAATTCTTGTAACTGGGCCCTAGTGCCGCTCCAACATATGAACACGTCATCTATGTATCTTTTCCAAACTATGCATGTAGAAAATAAAGGATGTGGGTAGATGCATGTTTCCTACATACGATTCATATAAATGTTAGCATATGTTGGAGCGACATTCGAGCCCATAGCAGTACCCTTAATCTGTTTGTAATACTTATCACCAAACAAAAAATAATTCTCAGTCAAAATGAAAGTGAGTAATTCCCTAATATATTTTCGGGTCTCTCCTTGTTGAGTTAGTCTCGGGTCTCTATCCAACGTCCAATCTACTGCCTCAATCCCTCTATTATGGTCAATTGAAGTGTATAGTGACTGTACATCCATGGTTACCAACCAAAATTCTCCTGGTGGGATATGTATGTCTGCTAGTAATGTGAGGAATGTAGTGGTGTCTTTGAGGTATGATTTCTGCATTGGGACATATTTGATCAAAAATTTATCCAGTATTTCTGCTGGATGTTGGAATATAGACCCAGTTCCACTGACTATTGGTCTGCCTGGTGGAAAAAGGGGGTTCTTATGTATTTTAGGGAGGGTATAGAACACCGGAATTCTTGGGTATTTGAGATTCATATACTTATATTCTCCATCAGAGATAATGTTTTTAGAAAGGGCCCATTGATTAAGTTTATCTAGTATACGTTTCAGATTATGTGTAGGGTCTTGGCTGATAGGTAGGTAGTTTGTATTATCCAATAACTGGGTCTCGATTTCTTTTACGTAATATGTACGATCCATGATCACCAGTGCTCCCCCTTTATCTGCCGGTTTGATAATGATGGATGTATCTTTTTTAAAATTATTGATATTCAACCAATCTTGCTTGGTAAAATTAATACTTTTTCCATGATAACTATGAGTATATTGACGTTTTCTCCTCAGTTTATACATATCTTTTTTCACAAGGTTGGTGAATAGATCAATAGATGTATTAATATTGTGTGGTGTGAAAGTGCTTTTAGGTTTCAAACCTGTATCCAGGGAGAGAACCGTGCATGGATCAGACCCGGTAACGTAATGTCCCACATCCTCCATATTTCCTTCATCCTGTGGATATCCCTGTATGGTCTGTATGGTATTATCAGTAGATTGTGCTGTTGTACCATAATTTTGTTGATCTGTTGAAAAGAATGCACGTAATTTAAGTTGGCGAAAGAATTTATACAAACTGACGTCATATTGGTGCCACTCTATATGGGGTGTGGGAATGAAGGAGAGTCCCTTATTCAGGGTCCCCTCCTCCGTAGGTGTTAAGGGCCTACCTGAAATGTTGTGTATTAGAGATTGCGTCTCGATTGGGGCGGTCGGCCTTGTCTTTTCTCCCGAGAGCCTCTTGTTATAACCCCCCCGCCTGATGTTTCTTCGTGTCGTACACCTCTCTCTAAAAAAGTCATCCCTGAAGACGAGGAGGCAGAGGAGGAGGATGTAGCCCCCTCTGTATCCGAACGCCATCTCTGTGTGGTCGTGTCTCTGTTGGATCTATAAGAACGATTGTCCGCTCTAGAGTACCAGGTATAAACTTGATCCCTTTGATAATCTAATTCATCTCTATGGAATTTTTTCTTTTTAAACTCTTCCGTTTCTCTCTGATATTCTTTTAATTTGTCTTCTATTTGTTTTTTAAGTGTCTCTAAGTCAGTTGATGCAGTAACTGCTGCTAGTTCTTGTTCTGTTGCTGCTATCTCTTTAATAAGTTTAGTTAATTCTTTCTGTAGAGATTCTATAGTTAGTACCATAAGGTCGACTGAGCATTTGTTTAAAATTTTGTACCATATTGCTCGATGTTCAGCGTTGTCTCTACATAATGTGGGATGTAATCTAACCCTCAGGCCCCTTGGAATTCTCTTCTGTCTAAGATATTCTCCTAGGGTATTTACATGTAGTTCCCAACTTATTTTTCTTTTTAAATCTCTCTCAAGTTTGTGAGCTATTCCACGTTCACTCTCATTAGTTAAAAACTCCCTAGCTCCTCTAAGGGCTGATGTAATGCGCGCATTTAGCCAGTCCATAGGAAAGCATTCTCAATGCTTTCCTATGGACGCTGGTGTCTTCTCACTGTGAAAATCACAGTGAGAAGCGCGGAAGCCCTCTAGCGGCTGTCAATGAGACAGCCACTAGAGGCTGGATTAACCCATAGGTAAACATAGCAGTTTCTCTGAAACTGCTATGTTTACAGAAAAAAGGGTTAATCCTAGCTGGACCTGGCACTCAGACCACTTCATTAAGCTGAAGTGGTCTTGTTGCAGTGTAAGCATGCAGAAGCCAAACACAGAAATATTGGACACAGGTCTTCAGGAAGTAACAGGCCTTTATTCACATTACCGATCGGGTCTCAGATGAACTCCTGTTCCAAAAGATCTGAGAGACCAACACATAGTGTACATTCCTTATATAGCACTATAACTCCTCCCATTAATAGCTACACCCACATATACCTTTAACCAATCAATGAGCAGACTATAGACTTGTACATCTAGTCAAACCACATGGCTCATCCAAGACAAAGGAAATAAGTGCAATTTCAGTTCCTGCATTCCTGCACATGCTCAGTACACTGATGACAGTATCCTAGCTACATGTAGCTAACCAACTGACACAACAAACACATATGCCACATGGAGATTTTGGCCTACTAAATTTTGACCATGCTGGAATCCCATCACATTCCCCCCTTTGATGCCTCTGATATAACATTATTCCAGATGCATCACCAATCACAGTTTTACCTACATCTCTCAAGTAGCCATTGAACCAGAGTAGACCTTGTAAGCATCTTAAAAACTCCTTCAACATTCTTCATCCTGAATATATTCTCTTCGGGCTAGGGGATCATATCTATAGACAGCCATTACATGAGCCGCTGTCTTTCTCTCTATAGTACTCTCTATAATACTACGTAGGGACCTTACCACTGGTGGAATTAGACAGGGCAGGAGGAGGCACAAAAAATATAATAAATTCTACTCCTCCTACTAATGTCTTAATTCCTCCAAGCTGCTCATACCAACTTCCAAACCAACTACTTAGGTTATACCCATTCCAGACCTGAGTAGGTACATGCACAAATTTAACCATGTGGCTTGTAAGTTCAGCCACTGCCTTCCCTTCATCATCTATGTGCAGACAACAGTTACTTAGATTAAACTTTCCGCATACACCTCCTTCTACTGCTAGTAAGTAATCAAGGGCTAGCCTATTCTGGTATATGGCTGATCACATCTTGGTATTTTGCTTAGCTAGAAGATTAAGCACTTGAGCTGTCTCATTAGTAATAATCTCAACTACCGCCTGTAGTCTAATAATGCGGTTGAGCATATATATCGGAGTTCTATATCCATAAGTGCCATCTTCTGCCCAAGTAGCAGGTCCATAATAATTAATAATACGTTGAGGGGGCCACTCATTATCTTCCCAGCTACCTATATTCAAGGATGCTCTCTCCCTTTTATGATTTACATCGTAAACCTTAACTCCCAAGGTCTCTCCTGTTTCGATTGGCAACAAGAAGAAGGATGGCTTTGGCATACCTAATACACATGCCCCTTCCCAATCTTGTGGTAACTCCAAATAAGTTTTCTTACCACAAATCCAGTATAAATTTGCTGGGGCTTTCCAACTAGATGTAGCCGATAAGTCAAACCATACCTCCTTTAAATGAGTGTAATTGGCAAACGGATTAGTAGGTTCCGAGACATTTGAAGCTGACCACCAAGTAGTATTTTTAGTATTAACATTATAGGCTTTTTGTCCCAAGCAAGTTAGCTCACCTACAGACGTGTTATACATTGTCCCTTTCCTGGCTATACAAACATGACCTATAATGGAGGTTTTTAACCACCATTCCAATTTACTTCTAGTACTTACTTGATGATCAGACTGGAAAGGTATCTGTTGTTCATATGTCTCAGAGCCAGGGTACCATATTTCCTTTGCCTCCCATGGCCACTGGTCTCCCATATTAGTACCTCCACACACATAGCAATTAGTTACATTAAGACTACCTGCAATACCCTCAGCCAAATCAATAAATAGGTTGTTAACATTATGGGGAATTTTATCCTCAATACTCATCTCCTCATAGAAGGAATGAGAAACCTGATGAGTTTGAGTTGCCACTGTCTCAGTTTCAAGACCTACATATATTATTGTTCCTGGATCTACTCCTGTGCCATATATTTGAACCCAAACAGACCTCCAAACCTGTCAATAAAGTACTGCAGATTGGAAATGGTCATGTGAACGGGGTTACACACATAGTTTTACAGTATGGTGTGGTAGGCAACCTTTGGATAATCATATCTTGATCCACTGTTTTTCCCAGGTTGCCCAACCTACACATGACCAATAGGGGCAGAAGTTAGTCTCTATTTGGGCAATCAGGATCAGTAGATCTTTTACTGGGACATAAGTATTTATCATTAAACCCATAAGTTCGTTCCCATTTAAGATTACCACATACATTCCAAAGTCTTCCACTACCCGAAATCGCCTTACATGCATCAAATAGTAGAATACCCGTGGAATGTATGGTGCTTATCACAGTCCTATTTATTAATGTCCCCTGGGAGTTACTATTCCGAATTACCAACCAAATTGTACGGGGTTGGAAATGGGGATCAAAACATTTAGACTCTCCTGATATTGGCTTGCACACACTATAATCAATATCCAAATATCTACATTTAGATACAGATCCCTTACATTCATACTGTGAGTGCCAGATGAGAGTTTGGGATATTTGGTTACCTGTTTTAGTAGTCTTAATGCAACTATCGCAATTCGGTATGTCTGTACTCCTACCTTCCTGAAAAATCATAAAAATACTAAGACACAATAAAACACATTATTCCTGAAATCCTCATTTTTCTTCGACCGTGCGATGGCCTCTCAGCTTCCCGATTGTGAGGGCTGCAAGGATGTTGTTCTTCTGATCCTCACTTTCCTTCACAGAGATCCCTTCAAGATACTCTGGCTATGACACGTAGGCAGGTGGTCAGGCTTTATTATGGCCGTCAAAACACCTACTTGATGATCTTTGTAGACTTTTAACTAGAATGTCTCGCTATCCCCTCGTCACTCCGACTGAGTTGCACGCTTCAACCGGGTCCTGCAAGGATTCTCAGGATCTGGAGTAGCTTGCCAAGAGTCTGCCGCTGGTTTAACCTTAGAATGATGAATCCAAGGAGTCACTTCCGCCACCTTTACAGCTATTGGGGTAGATAAAAGAACAACATACAAAGGCTAACAGAATACACCCCGAGCTTTAACTCAATATGTATTGGTGGGATATTACGAGCAAGTCCTGGAGGATTATTTTCTTCCCATACTCCTGGAATGTCAAGTAAGGATTCATCACTCTTAGGGTTAACACTTGTCACTATGGAATAGAAGCGTCATTCTTCTTCCCTTGGCACCGATATCACCATTATGCCTGGTAATCCCTTAAACTTCAGAGATGTTAATCCATTAGGTAAAAGGTTATCTGAGCTTAAAGCTTCGATAATAGATCTCGTCCTAAAAGTTGAATCGGACACTCTGGCATATATAGGAACTAATGCTTCACCACATGGCCTCCCAGAATACAAGTGCGACTCTTAAGAACCGGTCTAGCTGCACTTCTCCCAGTAGCTCCTATCACAGTTATAGTCTTCCCCGAAGGCGGAGCCACCATCTTAGTCACCACAGAATGTTCAGCACCTGTGTCGATCATGAAAGAACTTCTCTTTCCCCCTATTGCTACATCGACCATAGGCTCCGCTCGACCAAGTGGGATGGAGCCCAGTCGGTATCAATAGTCTTCCATGATAGTGTCAGCCAGACCCACAAAATCTCTATCCTCTCTTTCTCTAGGTCTCTGCGTGGGTAGATAGTATCTGTCTCCTTGAACACTTCCTCTACTATTCCCATCATTCCCTCTAAAACTTCCTCTTACTCTATAACTACCACTATAACCTCCTCGTACCCTTCTCTCTCCTTGTCTATCACCTTCATACTGCTCTCTCTGTGGACACTCACTCTTCCAATGTCCCTCCTTTCTACAATACGCACATTAATTCCTACTTAAAGTCCCTTGCTCAGCCTATTCTCGTCTCCTCTATTCACTTCCCTGTCTTTCTACACTTAAGATAGCTACCGCTAGCATATCTGCCTTTTTCCTCATTTTACGTTCTTCCTCCGTCTCCCTATTCATATATACTGTATTTGCAATCTCCATTAGCTGTATTATGGACATCCCTACAAATCCCTCTAATTTCTGTAATTTCCTTTTAATATCACCTTGGGCCTGGCTGACAAATGCTGAGTCTATCATTCGGAAGTTTTCAGGATTGAAAGGAGTGTACAATCTATTTGACTCAAGCAGTATCTAATATGGGACTTCGACAAGGCTGCTCAATAATAGGTTCCAGTCTAGGAGTAGTAAGATAGGTGTAAGGGGGTGAGCTAATTTTATTAGTCAGCATTTGGTGGATGAAAAAAACGTTTTTGTTTAAAGTGTTAAACCAAAAACCTACCAGTAGGTGTCACCAGAGGGTAATTGTATCAAAATAATCTTTATGGGTCTAATAAGAAAACTCAACTTTTAATATATTTATACATAAAATAAAACCTTATAGCAATAAATATATTAAAATAGGGTAAGCAATCCTACTTCTATCTGTTATAAACAATGTATTATCAATGTAACTCCCAAAGATGGCCCGTAGGTGGCTTAGAGTGCCTCCCTAAAGTCAAATGAAACAAATAGACTTTAATTAATTATGTCCTATTTTATTATTACTTATTTTAATCAATGTCCACCCTGATAGCTAGGCTTGATTAAATCTTTAGTTCTAAGGTAAATTAAACATTTCAGTTTGTATTTTAGTAAAAAGGGGACATTTTGGACAAAGCTGGGAGGGGCCCATCCAGTAACTAAAAAAAAGACCATATACCATCTGATACCATTGATCATTGATTAGGGGGAGGGGTAGTACAGAAATACAAGAGTTTGAAACACAGGAACAGATAGGTATGTGGGTAGGCGGGGACAGTAGAGCAGGGGGAGTGCAAATACTGACTATATACCAGTTTTTAGCTTGGGAAAAAGAATAGGGGCGTGGCTAATCTGGCTCTGGAGGATGTTTGGGGGGTTGGTAATCAGATGCCAGGGGGGAGGGGATGTCCAAAGCAGTTGTAATTAAGTCCTTAGTTCTGACCACCATATGGCTACATTGTTTCCCATATGACACAGTTTAACTCACCAAGGCAGTTTTTCAACAATCAGTTTCCAACAGTCAATGTATAGAAACTGATCATAGAATTCCAGCCTACTAGTTACAGCCACATGTACACCCTGCACTAAATTTAAGTGAAGACTGCTACATGGAGGCCATGCGGCCACCAGGACAGGCTACTCCCTACTTTTTTTTTTTTTTTTGAAAACATACAAGACAAAAGACTAACAGCCTAGTGAATCAGATTATTTCAACAGAACGTCTGATTCAAAAAGCTGTACAAATATACACACAGTTACAACAGTCACACCAATCTCCTTATCACCAGCAACACATTGCGCAGTCACTAGGCCCAAACACACACACAGGATCCTCACATGCTCAACAATATCATGACGTCGCACACACGAAATTAAATCAAAAACCCACCAAAGACTATACACTTATCAATGTAACTATTATTCAAACCATACAACTATCCACGCTATTAATCCATATAAACTAACCGATCACATAACATTTCAACAAATTCATCTCTACAATTATCCGTACTATAAATCAACTTTTGACTAACCAACTATATCACATTCTAGTAACCTCATCTTTACAGTCAATGGTTATGGTACAGTTAGTAAGTGGTTATAATACAGTTTTAAAGTCACAGATCAGTTAGTAACAGTTATGGTATTATACATATAACATAAAACAGCAATTGTTAGTAATTTTTACACAATATCAGTGGTTATGGTACATGTCAGTAGTTATGGTACCGTGCGCTATTTTACAGTTATACACACAATTTACACTCCCACTAGACAGCAGAGCTCTAACTTTCTAGTAGGACATACAAGTTAACCAATTCACCAACTACAATATATTTAACAACATTTACAATAATCCCAACTATTCTAACTGGCCAGCACCTCGAGAGCTTTCGATCTATTTATACACCAGAGATTCGATAAGTTCTTCGCTGCCCAGACACCACGTATAGCGAACTAGAGGGCAGAATTTACACAGTACCCAGCTAGTCTATTAAACTATCAATAAGCTAGTGGCTGGATTTACAACAGAGCACACTTAGTTAAGATAGGGTGAAATCTAGCAAACTATAATATACAACAGAGTATGCTAGTCTCCCGGTCCCCCCGACCTAGCGAACAAAATTTACACCCTAGATACGCTAGTCAAGACAGGACACCGGTGTCCGACATGAGCTATTTACACCAGAACTCAGTCTGACCCAAACCACCTATATTAGACGGGCTGACTACAGAGCGTCTAATTTCCAGATAAGTGTTGCGCTTTCACTTCTTCCATCCATAAGGACAGGGCAGACTCCAATAACTGGTTCCAAATATAAAACCCCTTGTGGGTCTACCGCTCTAACAGTATCAATCTTACCTGTTAATTTCTGGACCTGGGTTCACTCATAGACGGAACAATCCGGGACTCACTGCGCAGAAGCCGATGATCTCCTGGACAAAAGGCCAGTGGCGCCGAGACGAAAGGAGGTCCACGCAGTAGAAGTCCAGGATTGTAGCGTAGAAGGTTTGGTAAAAGTTTACCGTCTCAAATCTCTGCGCTAGCTTCCATGCAAATGAGGTTCCCACTGCCAATGCACCAGAGATGTTGCAGTGTAAGCATGCAGAAGCCAAACACAGAAATATTGGACACAGGTCTTCAGGAAGTAACAGGCCTTTATTCACATTACCGATCGGGTCTCAGATGAACTCCTGTTCCAAAAGATCTGAGAGACCAACACATAGTGTACATTCCTTATATAGCACTATAACTCCTCCCATTAATAGCTACACCCACATATACCTTTAACCAATCAATGAGCAGAATATAGACTTGTACATCTAGTCAAACCACATGGCTCATCCAAGACAAAGGAAATAAGTGCAATTTCAGTTCCTGCATTCCTGCACATGCTCAGTACACTGATGACAGTATCCTAGCTACATGTAGCTAACCAACTGACACAACATACACATATGCCACATGGAGATTTTGGCCTACTAAATTTTGACCATGCTGGAATCCCATCACAGTCTGGGTGCCTATAGTGGTCCTTTAAGTACTCAAAGACAAATATGAATAAAAAGATGCAAAGAACACAGGCTACCAGCAGCCAATTGGGATTGTCAGAAAAGCAATTTAGCTCCAAGAATTCTAATCTGCAGGGAGCAGACAATGTTGTGCTTGAATTGCCAGTTGATGTATATTACATATGGGCTCATTTACTTACATAGAATGTAATCAATTTTAATCAAAAACACCCAGAACAGATTAAAAGGTTAGTAACCCAAGGTATAGAGTAAATTGATGGTACCAAACAAATTTCTAAAGCAGACCCATTGTAATAGCATTTAAAAGCTTACCATGGAAGAGGCTACCGGTAAATTAGTGGAGTCCCAATAGACATTTTTATTGATTTTCATGTATGTTCAGTTTAGAAAAAAAAATAACTACACAGTATACATTGAATGAATATATCCACTGTTTAATATAAAAGGGTCAACAATTATTTTTGTGATAATTTGCAAACCTTTTAATCTGTAAAACGTCATTCCAATGCTCGTTAGCTCTATTCTCAATGCAAAGTAATTAATTACTACATCCTCCCAGTTCATACAGATTACTCTAATAATACATAACGGGTTTGCACAATAATATAGGTTTAAACATAATTTCTCAGTGTTTTCGTCAAAATGGACAGAACAGATGTACGAGAAAGAATTTAAGGAAGTGATTGACAGGAAAAATTGCATGATTAATGTGTAAATGGGTAGCCAAAAGGTAGATTTGCAGCTGTGAAACTATAATGCTCACCTGCAGTTTTAGAGAAGTTGGGGATATACATTATGACAATCCTTTAAGAATATAGATAGTCACTATATTTGAATTGTTTGCTTTGCCATTTCAATTTTTTTTTTTTTTAATGGATCTATAAAAACTGTTTGGTTTTATTAAGATGATTTCAAAAAACAGTGAAGGAGTTAATATGTCTGGCAGATAGAGTCTGTACACAAACTGTCTTTCTCTTTCAAGCCTGTGAAATAGGAAACCTTGAACACACAGAAGGGCCTCTAAGTGAGAATATTCTTCTTTTTTTAGCGTGTCAACAAGCCGTGTGATACTCTGGCTGTGTCCTACTTCAGCTTAGCTTGCTACACTGGGTTCTGAAATCTGCTTTATTAATTATTTTTTTTTTTTTTTTATTTTTTTCGAGATAATGTCACTGTTCTGCCCCTGGCTTGTTTTGCATTTAATGTTTTTCTCCTCTCAGTCCTACAAAAATAATGTCTGGCTCAGAACTGTCATTTGTTGCTCATGAATAGCAATAAATGTGGCATAATATAATTTAAAGTGTTATGCTGTAAGCTGGTTGATTGACCTTTAATAGGTTAGTATTACCTTTACTTTCAGTCTTTGTGTTTGAGAACCAAATCTGTATTAGAATATCTTGGAAATGTACTTTAAATCTAGGAATCACTACGAAACATGTCATTTTAATGCTTATATGAGTTTCCTCTTATTAAAAAAAAAGAGTAAAGCATGGATTTTAGTAAGTTATAGTAGAAAGCCGTGATTTTATTACATAAAGGTGAATATTATGCATTTCTATTTCTTTACTCCCTAATAGCAATGAAGAAAGTAAAACAAATGGTATTAAAAGGAATAGAACAGAAACCAAACACCATTTCTGGCTGCTCCTGATATTTCGGCAGAATCTAAAAAAAATCCAGACTTCTGAAACCCATCCAGCCTCCTAAACATTGGATCCAGGTAGAGGGGCTCCCACTGCATCGCTCGATGCGCTTCTTGTTTAGCCCGAAACTGGAAAAACCGAAATGCAGAACCGGGGCCTACCTAACACAGACAATCCCCAGTCTGGAGCAATTCCTGAAGGGGACCTGCCCCGAAAGAACGCCAAACACGCTGCAGCACCGACCCGCTACAGCCACACCAGCAATGGGGCCCTGATCCCAGATACCACAGCCTGGCACCTCGATCGAAGCTACACTCAAATTCCCACTACTCTACAGTAATGCACACGGTTTTCATCAGTCTAAATACAGAGTACAGAATATTTGATATTTGAGTCCTAACATCAGAGGAAAGGGATTTAGGGGTGATTATTTCTGATGACTTAAAGGTAGGCACACAATGTAACAGAGCAGCAGGAAATGCTAGCAGAATGCTTGGTTGTATAGGGAGAGGTACTAGCAGTAGAAATAGGGAAGTGCTCATGCCATTGTACAGAACACTGGTGAGACCTCACTTGGAGTATTGTACGCAGTACTGGAGACCGTATCGTCAGAAGGATATTGATATCTTAGAGAGAGTTCAGAGAAGGGCTACTAAACTGGTTCATGGATTGCAGGATAAAACTTACCAGGAAAGGTTAAAGGATCTTAACATGTATAGCTTGGAGGAAAGACGAGACAGGGGGTATATGATAGAAACATTTAAAGGACCACTATAGTGCCAGGAAAACATACTCTTTTTCCTGGCACTATAGTGCCCTGAGGGTGCCCCGACCCTCAGGGCCCCCCTCCCGCCGGGCTCTAGGGTGAGGAAGGGGTTAAATTTACCTATTTTTCCAGCGCCGGGCGGGGAACTCTCCTCCTCCTCTCCATATCGCCGTCATTGGCTGAATGCGCATGCGCGGCACAAGCCGCGCACGCATTCAGCCAGTCCATAGGAAAGCATTCTCAATGCTTTCCTATGAACGCTGGCGTTTTCTTACTCTGAAAATCACAATGAGACAGCCACCAGAGGCTGGATTAATCCTATTATAAACATAGCAGTTTCTATGAAACTGCTATGTTTATAGAAGAAAGGGTTAATCCTAGCTGGACCAGGCACCCAGGCCACTTCATTAAGCTGAATAAAGGGAATCAACACAGTAAAGGAGGAGACTATATTTAAAAGAATGAGAACTACCACAACAAGAGGACATAGTCTTATATTAGAGTGGCAAAGGTTTAAAAATAATATCAGGAAGTAATACTTCACTGAGAGGGTAGTGGATGCATGGAATAGCCTTCCAGCTGAAGTGGTAGAGGTTAACACAGTAAAGGAGTTTAAGCATGCATGGGATAGGCATAAGGCTATCCTAACTATAAGATAAGGCTAGGGACTAATGAAAGTATTTAGAAAATTGGGCAGACTAGATGGGCCGAATGGTTCTTATCTGCCGTCACATTCTATGTTTCTATGTTAATATATAGAACAAAACCAAAAGCATGGCCTGCGCATCTCATATCACTGCAATGGCCATTAAAGGGTTAGCTCACTTGCTACATCAAGGAAAACCTCTTGGGTGAGTCCTACACTAACAATTCACGTTGTTGATTTCATCGAAAACGTAAACTCTGTAATGACACAAAAAGGGTTATTCTGAATCCATACAAACTAGTCAACCCTTAATAAGGCACACATGGGGAGATCTTTGCAGCTAAAAAACTACTTTTTAATGGCATCACTGCTCTTGAAGAATTAATTTCTAACTGGCACGCAATTTTAAACTTTCCCATAGTTCACTTTATTCTTTATTTTGAAAGTTTTATTCAGTTACATATAGAGTATAACATTGTCGTAAGAAATGTTTTACATTAAAATGTAGTCAGCATCCATTTGCATTGGATAAGTAAAGAACAGTGTATAACAGTGGAAATAATAACAGTGGCACAATGCAGTACAATACAGAACAATACTACGGGCCGTACACATATTGGCTAGACATCATGGATTAAATCGTGCATATAGATGTCGACCTGGTTCATTCATTTGGTGGGTTCCTTGATTGGTGTTTGAAATGGCCGTAATGCCAGAATGGCCGTAATGCTGCTTTGTGTTCGTAATCGAGGTAACATTTGAAAGATAAAAAGAAAAAAGCAACAAACAAAACCGAGGGCAGGGTTAAATCTGGGTAAATAAAGGCTTGGGGATGCCTTAGCTGCACATCTTGAACCCCTCGTGGGGGTGTCATCAAGTTGTCTGTGGGTGATGTATGATTGTCTTGAGAAGGGGGCAGCAGGGTCGTTATTTTATGTTCATTGGCCCAGTCCTGGTGCTGTCATGGGTTCTGAGGTGTGGTTGCAGGGGGGTGAGGTGTAGATTGTCAGTTAAGTTGGGGTGTCAGTGTTCGAGGGGCATCTCTTGTCTGTAGGCACATTTTTTTTAAACACTGTCTACGGAGAGGTGGGTGCTTTAGCAATGAGGGAGGTGGTTAGGAAGCTTTGAATTTGGAGGTATTGGAAGTGATCGAAGGTGGTAAGTGGTGTGTTTTGAGGGAGGTTGGGGAATGGAATTATTTGGTTATTGTGGAAGAACTGGAAAAGTCTAACAAGCTCATTGTCCTCGAAATGTGCGAAGTGTTGGGGTGTCATATACAACAAATAGGTGGAGCAATAAAAAACAAATACTGTAAATACTTCCCTCTCTTCAATATACAACCACAAAACTGAAACAGAAACAGAGGGAGATACAATAGTGTAAAACTGGTAAGACAAAAAGTAATCACTATGTCTATAATGGGCACACTCACAAGGATAGAGCCATAAAGTAACCTGGCTCTAGTCTGGATAGCAATAGGATCCTTAAGGGAGATCCAAATCCCACTCCAGTAGATGAGAAGGATGATGCAGGAACAATATCTACTTCAAAAGTAATAATTTATTCCAGAAATAAAAGAAAAACAAAACAAAGTCCATATAATCACCAAAACGCGTTTCGCCAAATAGGCTTCCTCAGTTGGTGGATATTCAATGTAAAAAGTCTCTTTCTTCTTTAATATAGTTGGTTTTGGCGCCACGTGCGTTCCACAAATACTACGTCCGATCATGTGACCGGACAATACAGGAAATGAGCATTGAATCGGAAATCATGCGTTCCACGGATGAAACTGGAAGTCGACGCTGTGCGTTTCACAGATGAAGATGGCGCCAAAACCAACTATATTAAAGAAGACATCCAGGTATAGAAATAGGAATAGTGATGGGATATTTCGATGGGAGGCCACCCAGATCAGGTCAAACATTCTCCGTGTATTGTCGCAGGCTTGTCTGTGGGGAATTGTAGCGGTACTTACCTTACCCGGGGGCCGGCCGAGGTTCTCTCTTCCCGCCGTGCGGCTCTCGAATGAAGGTGGGCACGGACCGTGAGATGGGGTCACGTGTCCCGCCTAGCTCTTAGAGCGTGCCGCGCGTCTCGGTCACGCTCTTAAAGGGGCAGTGGGAGCTAAAAAATGAAATGTGCTCCCATTGGCCCCTGTCATCCCACATTCCCCAGACACTCACATTTTGGGGGCGTGGATATGACAGGGGCCAATCAAAGTAAAGTTTAGGGTATATATACTTACCTCTCCCTTAACTCCCTGCCCTATCGTGGTTTCTGTTTCAGTTTCCTTTAGCGCTTGTTGTGTTCAGTTGTGATTTTCAGTTGTGTTCAGTTGCCAAGGTCCATGTGGTTTTTGTGGGGTTTTAGAAGTAGGTAAATATTGGCTTGGAGCATGTCTGGGGGAAGTCTCCTCCTAGAATGGAGTTAAAAAGATTGTTCAGGTATGGGAGCAAAATTGAAGAGTATGTCTTAAAGTAGAGGCCAGTGAACCTGTCTGGGCCTGGACATTTGTGTTTTTAATCGTGTCAGACACTTCTTCGGTGGTGATAGGGGTGCTTAGAATCGATCTAGTCTCATTTGTGAGGGCGGGCAATGAGACTGACCTTAGGAAGTCACTAGCGTTGTTGGCCGCTTTAGGTTGGGGAAGAGTAGAAATTATGGAAAACAGTGGCGATTTTGTGTGGGATGTCATGGATCTCACCATTTGGTGTTGTTATTTTGATGATGTATTTGGTCTGTGTCCAATGTCACAGTCTGCGGGCCAGGAGAGTGTCAGGTTTGTTGAATTTCTCATAGAACAATTGACTGGTCCATTGCAGGGCTTTTTGGGCGTCTTGCGCCAGGAAGGTCTGTATTGTGTGTCTCTATGTGTTTGAAGGTTGGTCGTGAGTTCTGTCGTGGGGTCGCGCCTGGGACCTGACCACCGATAAGTGGGACTCGAGGGTTGCGAGATTTTGTTTTTTTGTGGGCCCTGGCCGCAGCTATCAGTTTGCCCCTTATTACTGCTTTGTGGGCACTCCAGACGGTGCAAATGTTGATAGTGAAGTAATCTGTGATCTCATTTCTTATCCAGTCCCTAATTTGTGGGCCATGGAGGTGGCTGGGGTTCAGTCACCAGGACCATTGTTTGATCATGTGTGGTATTGTGATGGTCAGTTGAATGTCGTTGTGGTCCGACCATATGATCGAGCCGATGGATGATGCAGTGACTTGGCTTAACAAGGAGTGTGAGATCAAGTACATGTTGATTCCCGAGTAAGAAGAGTGTGGGTGAGAGAAAAAGGTGTAATCCTGCATCATGGGATGGTGGAGTCTCCATATATTATGGAGTTCTGTCCATGACAGAAAGCCTTTAAACATGTTTGTGGGCATGGTGTCGTGGGGGTAGTAAGGGGAGGGAGAGCGAAGGGGGAGAAAAAAGGCATGAGGGAAGGTAGAGAGAAGAAAAAAAGGGGGGGATTGGCTAGGTGAGCGAGAGGGAAGGAGGAGGATAGGAGACGTCTGGTTTTTGCCAGATTATGTGGAGGGGGAGTACAATGAAGGCTCTAGAAATCCTCCAGTAACTCGGAGGTCATGGGTGTAAGCGTTGGAGTCAGGATAGGAATGCAGAGCCAATAGCATCCGCATGCTCTCCCGCACCGACCCCAGTGTAGTGTCCACAGAGTGTTGTGTATTGGAAACTGGAGTTAGAGTACAGTAGGTATTTGAGAGTGTGTCAGAGAATGGAGTGTCGACCTCTCAATGTCAAACATTAGGATTAAACAGTATAAAAATATACAAGGTGAAAACATTAAGTTGCAATTTAGCAATTTAGAGAAGAGTGAGACTAAACTTCTTGGCTTGTGTACAGATAACCCAATACCTTACATGATATTTAAGTCAGCATATATACACAGATTTTGGTGTTTGTTCTACTTATCATTAAAATTAATCCAGTTCCTACCACATGCTCGCACGGGCCCGGAAGCCTGAAATGGCACAGTATGCCTGAACACAAGGCGGTGCAAGAACGGGAGCAGACACAGGCTGAGTTTCCCAGGCTGCTGAAGACGATGAAGGCCCCATTACGGCAGCCGATGATCAATTAATCAATGGCATTTGATTAGCAGCACCTGTCTGTAACTTAACCTCTTATACTTGGTTTTTCATAAATGGCTTTATATTTGTTTAATAAATCATGACACGGTGTAATATGTCATATGTTGTTGTTCATCTGAGGTCGTATTTTTCTAATTTTCCTTAGACCTGCTAAGAAATAGATGATTGTTATTATGTCCTGATAGGTAAATAGGTAAAACCATAGAGCTCAAAGAGGGTGTACTTTCTTTTCCCCATGTATCAGAACTTGGTTTAGGCCTGTAAATTAAGAGGGCAAACATGGATTTGAGAAACAACATAAATACACATATACATAAATATACACACCTATGCACACTCGCAGACACCTAAGCATACATGTAACCCCAATTAACAACCCAACTACCAAGTGAAAGCATTTGCTTGCCCATGTGAAGGATTATTAGACGTAACTATTGCTTCCTTGTGAGCCATGAATTTGTAGTATTGGTAGAAGTACAGAAATTAACCATAGAATCCGAGAGGTGTTTTTGAAGGTGGCAAAAACCAAGAAAAAATGTTGTGTTAAACAAAGGTATCATTAATTCTACCTGAAATTACCTCTGTGACCTCTGTGAAAGCTGAAGCTCAAATTATTTAAATTTTTGAACATGCTACCCTAACATGTGACTCATGTGACTTCATAAGAAGATCAAGTGTCTTATACATGAAGGACATTGAAGATTTTCAGATTCTGAAATAAAATCAGGATGTTGTCCAGATAAATTATTAAACGGACACACTAAGCACCAAAATAACTTTAGCTTCATTAAAGGGACTCTCCAGGCAAACAATTTTACTCACCTGGTTCCAGCGCCGGGAGCCTCGTGAAGCCGCACCACTTATTTCATTAAAATGACGAAATAGGCGGGCGCGAGCAGGGAGCAATCAGACGCTTCCATTTGGAAGCGTAATTGCTCCCTTGTGCGCATGTGTGACTTTGCCGCACATACTTCATAGGGCGGCATTCATGCCGCCCTCTGAAGTCCTGAGCGCACTACCGCGCATGCGTGCGGTGTGCGCAGCCGCGAGCTGAGCTGACTGACAGCTCAGCTCGCGGTCTTTGCCCGCCCCCTCTCCTCTGCTGACAGGCAGAAGAGAGAAGGCGCGCACACAGTGCCTTCTCTCTCCTGCACACCTCAGACGTATTTTAATACGTCTGACGTGTACAAGGCCTTTATAGGGCCCTGCATGATAGGAAGTCCCTCTGGTGGCCGTCTGAGTGACGGCCACTGGAGGTATTCCTATCAATCAATGTAAATACTGTATTTTCTCTGAAAATACAGTGTTTACATTAGATTGTCTGCAGGGAGCTATAGATCTCACCTGAACGACTACATTAAGCTGTAGTTGTTCAGGTGACTACAGTGTCCCTTTTAGTGCTTCTGTTATATACATCATGCCCTTCCAGTATCACTATGCAATTCTCTGCAGTTTAGAGGTTAAGTCACTTTGTTTATGCAGCCCTAACCACCCCTCCCTTGCATGTGACAAAGCCTCTCTACACACTACCTGAAATCACCACACTGGAATTATTTTTATTTTGTTAAAAGAATTTAGTAGATATGCCCCCAAAGAAAACATGTATGTATTTTTCTGCATATTGTCTTTGGGGGTATATGAAAAAAAACAGCATTTAAAGGTGGCAGGCTTGCTGGCTGCTGCCTTTGCAAGCCCTCACCTCTTTCCTCATTGAGAAAAAAAAATCCAGCGTCTGTGCTGGAGTCGTGACTTTCCTATACTTCTCAATGAGCTGTTGAACATTTCTCATTTCTTCCCCTCAATTATAAAAGTGCAAATGTCTATTCAAATTGCACTTTTTTAAACTGTCAAGAAAATGATAGACTCCAGACATAAAGCAGTTCTGCAAGCTTAAAGGACCACTATAGTGCCAGGAAAACATACTCGTTTTCCTGGCACTATAGTGCCCTGAGGGTGCCCCCACGCTCAGGGACCCCCTCCCGCCGGGCTCTGGAGAGAGGAAGGGGTTAAACACTTACCTTTCTCCAGCGCCGGGCGGGGAGCTGTACTCCTCCTCTCCTCCTTGCTCGAGACGTCATGCATTTGAATGCGCGCGGCAGGGCAGCCAGCTAGATTCGGCGATACCTCAGGAACATTTACAATGCTTTCCTATGGACGCTGCGATGCTCTCACTGTGATTTTCTACAGTGAGAAGCCGCGCAAAAGCGCCTCTAGTGACTGTCAATGAGACAGCCACTAGAGGCTCTGGAGGCTGGATTAACCCTCAGTATAAACATAGCAGTTTCTCTGAAACTGCTATGTTTATAAAAAAAAGGGTTAATCCTAGAGGTACCTGGCACCCAGACCACTTCATAAAGCTGAAGTGGTCTGGGTGCCTAGAGTGGTCCTTTAAGTGTTTCATTTTACAGTGCCCTCCACTAATATTGGCACCCTTGGTAAAGGAGTTGGAGCTACTGCTGGTGGGGCTGCACGCTCATGGAGGCCATTGGGTGGTCCATGCACTTAGGGACAACCTAAGTGTTTTCGGGGGTCTGGTCATGTGCTGCGGCCCTTTAACAGCGCAACTGAGCCCCTGTAATCTGTTAGCTCTCACGTGGATGCACTGAGCAGGCTGGATACTGAGCCATGAGGAGCAGAAAAGAACTGTCAAAAGACCTGCGTAACAAGTTAATGCAACTTTATAAAGATAGAAAAGGATAGAAAAAGATATCCAAAGCTTTGAAAATGCCAGTCAGTACTGTTCGATCGCTTATTAAGAAGTGGAAAAATCAGGGATCTCTTGATATCAAGCCAAGGTCAGTTAGACCAAGAAAGATTTCAGCCACAACTGCCAGAAGAATTGTTCGGGATACAAAGAAAAACCCACAGGTAACTTCATTTGAAATACAGACTGTTATGGATGTTATGTTTAGTTTACATGCAACTTACTCTATGGTTTATTCTCTATTGCACGTGTTTCCTGTTGGGGTGTGTACTTCCTTCCTGTATCTCCTGAAACATGGCTGCTATACACTAATACCTGGCAGTGTCTTTATTTATGTCTCCTGAAACATGGTGTCAGAAGTATCTGAACCTGGTCTGTTCTCACACACTTGATGCCAGGAGCTTGCAAGTCTTGCGGTGAGAGACTTTGGAAGTGATTGTGCCTCCTGTATCAATTAAAGCTACTACTGTCCTGCAAGCTGAGCATTGGAAGCAAGAAAACCAGCATCATGGCAGCTGCTAATAGCATTCTACTACCTGAGGCAATGAGGGTGAGTGGGGATTGCAGCAGTAACTGGGATAACTTCAGAGCTGAGTATGAGGATTACTTCCTGGCTACAGGGCTGAAGGAGAAGCTTGCAACAGTGCAAGCAGCCACTCTGAGGCAGGTGAGGAGCAGTGAGTGCTACCATGCTTACATACGTAGTTTGAACCTTACAGAGGAGCAAAAGAATGACACTAAAATCATCCTTGATGCATTGGAAGCTTTCTTCAGACCTGCAAAAAATGTAATATATGAACGATATATGTTTGGCAGCTGCAAGCAAGAAATATGGTGAATCAATAGACAAATGTGTCACAAGGCTAAGAGAAAAAGCTGCAAGCTGTGAGTATGGCTTCTTAAGAGATGAACTTATTCGTGATAAAATAGTTCTAGGTATTAAAACTAAGAGTACCTGCCGCCATCTATTGAGGGAACATGATTTAAACCTACATGCAGCAATTGAGATATGTCGCACTGCAGAACTTACTGACAAACATATGAGAGCTATGGAGCAGAATGAACAGACTGACAGCATTCATGCAGCCTTCAAGCAACAGCTAAGCTTGAAGAACCACCAGCACAAGCATCAACACAATAATCACCAAAGCACCTCACCTGTGAGCAAGCCTACATCATGTAAGTACAGTGGCAGTATACATGTGAGAGAGAAAGAACAGTGCCCTGTATATGGGAAAACCTGTAGATAATGTGCTAGGCTAAATCACTTTGCTGGAGTATGTCTGTCAAGAAGTAAGGAAGCAAGGAAGCTAAACACAATTGAACATGTCTGATTTCGAGGACGCACTCCTACTTAGCAATGATGTGATTTACTCCAAGGAATGCATAGGTGCAGTAAAGTCCAAGGGTAAAAAATGGTTTGTAAATCTCAGACTGAATAATATATGCCAACCCTGCCAGCTGGATTCTGGTGCAACATGTGATGTCATGAGTTTGAAAGACAAGATGAAACTGGCATCTAGGGCACCACTTCAGCCCAGCAGCACCAAGCTGAAGCTATATTCAGGGGAACTAATGGAATCATTGGGACTTTTCCAAACAGAGTGCAGCATACATGAAAATATACACAAACTTGAATTTGAGGTTGTTGAAGCCAATCCGAAACCGCTATTGTATGATTCGACATGTGAGCGCCTGGGACTGATGCAATTCACAATTCATGCGGAGCTGCACAATGTTGATAATCAGCTTGCAAAGCCCTTGACTAGTCCACTGACAAAACTGCAAATCCTCAATGTCTATAATTTTGTGTTTACTGACCCAGTAGTATCTGTCCAGGAGTGGTTCATTTTGAACTGGATCCTACCATTCCACCAGTACAATGTGCCCCACACAATGTGCCAATAGCCATTAAGCCACAAGTAAAACCGCAACTTGATAAGTATGAAGCTGATGGACATCTTACATCAGTATCAGAGCCAACTGACAGGATAAGCAACATTGTAGTTATTAGGAAGCCTGAAAAGATTAGAATTTGCATTGATCTGAAGTTTCTTAACATGGCCCTGAGAAGGTCACACTACATAATGCCAACACCGAGGATGTTTTGCACAAACTGCCCAAAGCATGGGTTTTTATACTTGTTGATGCAAGAGATGCCTTTCTACAGTGCAAACTGGATTAAAGAGTTAATGCTTTCAGGACTCCCTGGGGCCTGAAAGAGATGGCTCAAGCTGCCATTTGGAGTCTCTGTAGCCCCAGAAGTATATCAGCGAAAGCAACATGAACTGTTAAAGGACCACTATAAACTGTTTATAGAAAAAAGGGTTAATCCTAGCTGGACCAGGCACCCAGACCACTTCATTAAGCTGAAGTGGTCTGGGTGCCTATAGTGGTCCTTTAAGTGGGCTCCACATAATTGAACCAATAGCAGATGACATTTTTATAATTGGCTGTGGTAAAACAGATGAGCAAGCTGAGCATGACCATGATGAGAAACTTGTAGCATTATTGGATCGCTGCAGGCAGGTAATGCTGAGACTCAGCATAAAGAAATTAGGGTACAAGAAGTCCGCTTCCATGGACATATCCTGTCTCAACAAGGCTTGAAAGCTGACCCAGATAAGATTAGAGCCATTGTGGACATGCCACGGCCTGGTGACACCAAAGCAGTGCAGCGTTTTATTGGCTTTGTCACATACCTAGCAAAATTCATGCTGCATTTGTCTGAGGTGTGTGAACCATTGAGAAGGCTTCTAGATAAAGATTCAGTTTGGCATTGGCTTCCCAAGCATGACCAGGCAGTGGAGGAAGTAAAACGCTTGATCACAGCTGCCCCAGTGCAGTATTATGATGTAAAAAAGCCTGTTACAATACAATGCGACTCAAGCAAAAATGGCCTAGGATATTGTCTATTGCAAGGTTAGCCAGTTGCATTTGCGTCCAGATCACTCTCTTCAGCTGAGCAAAATTATGCTCAAATTGAAAAGGAATGGTTAAGCATTGTTTTTGCCTGTCATTGTTTCCATCATTACCTCTAGGGCTGGGATGCAATTATAGCTGAAACTGTTTACAAACCGCTAATAGCCATATTCAAGAAGCCACTTTTATGTGCTCCAAAGCGTTTGCAGAGCATGATGCTTACATTGCAGAATTACAACCTCAATGTTGTGTACAAGCCAGGATGTGAAATGTACAGCAGTGACACCCTAAGCAGAGCTATAATAGAACACATAGTACCTGGAGTTGAGCATGAGCATCTTGCAGTTTGTTTGTTGCAGCAGGAACAGAATTTCTTTGCCGAAGTCAATCAAGCAGACTATCTTAATGTCACAGATCAGCGGCTACATCAGCTCATCCAGCACACAGAAAGTGATGCAAATTTAAAAGCACTGAAGTCTATAGTTCTGATGGGGTGGCCAGATGAAAAGGATGCAGCACCTACAATTGTGAAGGAATACTGTTTTTTCAGAGATGAGATCAGCATACAAAATGGTATCTTGTACAAAGGTCCAAGGGTCATAGTTCCGAAGTCACTGAGAGCAGAGATGTTATTGCGCATACACTCAAGCCACATCGGAGGTGAGGTTTGCTACAGACAAGCTTGTGATACTCTTTACTAGGCATGTGCATGGGAAAATTTTTTGGTTAGGTTCGGCATTTGGAAATTCGGGACCGCGAGTAGGGGCATGTCTAGTAAACAGCCTGTGGCTGCTCACTTAAAAAAAAAAAAATAATAATTTTTTAAAAAAGGGTCCCTATTGTCCTCCCCCCAGGCCCCTTCCCCTGAGAGGTGGGTGGGGGGCCTAAATTAGAATAAAGGGTGACCTAATGTCCTCCCCCCTGGCCCCCACCCCTGAGCGGTGGGTGGGGGCCCTAAATTAGAATGAGGGGGGACCTATTGTCCTCCCCCCACAGCCCTACCCCTGGCCCCTACCCCCAGGCCCCCTCCCCTGAGAGTTGGGTGGGGGTTCTAAATTAGAATAAAGGGAGACCTAATGTCCTGAGCGGTGGGTCGGGGCCCTTAAGTAAAATAATGGGGGGGACCTATTGTCCTCCCCCCAGGCCTTCTAAAATCTTCTTTTTTCAGCCCCAAAAAAGGCCAAATAAAAAACCATAATAACCAACGCACAAAAAAAAAACCGAGCACAAAAAAAAAATTATTATCCATCTTCACCCATGGAGGGCTCCGCACAGACTGAGCTCTGCAGGGCGGGGGATTGGGGTTTTCAATTGGTGGACTGAAAGTAACCAGAGAGTTATGAGTCAAATTACACAGCGTGGGACAATTCCAAAGAACTTTCCCACGCTGTGTAAAATGACACAGAGCACTCTGATTGGTGGATTTCAAGCCAACCAATCAGAGTGCTGTGACAGGTAAATGTAGAGACTTACCTGTAAGTCTCTTCATTTACCTGTCAGAGCACTCTGATTGGATGGCTTAAACCCACCAACCAGAGTGCTCTGAGTCTGCGCGGAGCCCTCCATGGGTGAAGATGGATAATTTTTATTTATTTATTTTTTAAAGTGCGTCACAGAGGAAGATGTCAAGGAGATTAAAGACCTCCTTACCAGTAACTAACAAGCTACTTGAACTCTCTGTGATACAAGGTGTACCAAAAAAGTTACGACTTAAGAGGCATGTGTTCATGGTAAGATGTGACTCATCTGCTAGGGATTTACCTGAACTGAAACCTTTACTGCACCAATGTCACACCTCTGTGATACAAGGTGTACCAAAAAAGTTACGACTTAAAGTTGAACGACATATGGGGATCTATTTTCCCATCGTTACGATAGGGTGGCCACAAAACAATTCTTGCATCATGGCCCTCTCTACTTTAGTTCTTCCACTGCTTGGTAATTATGAGCAGAGAAGGCTGTGAAAAATTGTCTTTATTATTTAAACTTTTGATCTTTTGTTCAAAAATAATACAAATCAATCATTTCTAATGGATATCAAAAAAATTGCAAACACAAAACAGGTTTACCAAAAAAAGAATAAAAAACTTTGTTAAATATATGTGTGGCAAAATTATTGGCACCCCTTTTTATTTATATGAGAAATATATATTTGAAGTATATTCCCATTGATATTTAAAATGTTTTACTACACCTGCATGACTAGGAACAGGAAATTGTTCAACCATGACCTACTGCTTTACAGGTGAATAACTATGAGGTAACACATAGGCTAAATTCCCCTAGTCATTCATCACAATGGGTAAGATCAAGGGATATAGCTGTGATGTGCGGCTAAAGGCTGTGAAGCTTCACAAAATAGGAAGTGGCTATAAGAAAATAGCAGTTTACACAATCAGTGCAATTGTTAAAAGGTCCAGTAACAGGAAATGTTATGAATCAACTGGAAAGTGGACGTAAGCCTATATTGTCTCAATGCACTATGAAGTGGTTGATTTGAGATGCCAAGAAAATCTCCAAGGATCACAACTAGAGAATTGCAGAAGTTAGTTGCACCTTGGGGTCAGAAAGTCTCCAAACTACAATTTAACATAACGTACATCATCACAAGTTGTTTGGAAAGGTCTCAAGAAAAAAGCATCTAGTCTCATCCAAAAACAAACTCAAGCGTCTTCAGCTTGTCAGATCCTACTGGTTCTATGGTCAGATGAAACCAAAATAGAGCTTTCTGGCAAGAGACACCAGAGGTGGGTTTGGTACACAGAGAGGAAGCCATATGGAAAAGTACCTCATGCCCATGGTTACATATGGTATTGACTCTTAAATGTTTTGGGGTTATTTTTCTGCCAGACTACCTGGACAATTTGTTAGGATACATGACATCATGGACCCTACCAAATATCAAAATACATTAAAGGAACACATGACTACCTCTTCCAAAAAGCTTAAAATGGGATGTGGTTGAATCTTCCAGCAAATTAATGATTTAAAGCATACATCAAAATCAACACAAAAATGGTTTGTTAACCACAAAGGTTCTGCCATGGCCATTCCAGTCCCCTGACTTGAGCTCCATTGAAAACCTGTGGGATGAACTGAAGAGGAGAATCCACCAGCGACCTCAATATTTGAAGAATCTGGATAGATTATATATGGAGGATTGGTCTCAGATCCCTTGCCATGTGTTCTCCAACCGTGCCACACATATATATATTTTTTTTATTTTTTATTCTTTATTTTGGTTGTGCATTTATGAAAATTACATACAATCGTTCTATAAGTCACGGCATCATAGACAGGCTTCAATACTATATGTTTACAACTGGAAGTGACATTTGAGGAACATGCACATTTTTTATATTAATGTTTAAACAAGCTTTAACCATTTAGTTACATCTGAAAAGTCCAGCTAGGCAAAAAATAATGGTGAATAATGGTAAATAATAAGAATAATACGGTAGCTTAAACTATGTGGTTAGGCACAGGAGGCACGTTACAAATTGCTATGGGCATCAGGAGAGAGATTATCTGGTGAGACAGTGTCATCTAGGCATATTAGGTAGACAGACAGTAACATTGTCAGAGAAGCATGAAACCACGTAGATGGGGTAAAACAATGTGGATTAGAGTAATGGCATATACTTTGTATAGATAGGTCAACCTTGGGTAAATATAACATTCTGGAGGCTAAGCCAGTGCCTTGCCTAACTGAGGTGTATGGTCACTAGCGTCCTCAAGCGTGTGTGAGCTGAGCCAGCTGACCCTAACTGGCATCAACTGAGCCCATGAGTGGGTGTGTGTCGTTCACTGGTTAAAAAGGGGGAAATGTGTAATTGTGGAACAGGAGCTGGGTTCTTAACAATGAAACAAGCTGTGTTACTTAAGTGTCCCAGAACGTCTCTTAGCCCACGCCAGCAGCTGGTATGGCTTCGTCCCCCAGAGTGGCATTGTCGGTGGTGCTTGAAGATGTTGCCCTCAGGTCGTCGCCGTTTTCCCCAACCAGGGCTTGTATTCGATGGCCGCAGGAATGAGAGGAGCATGCTTTGCTTTGGCGGGTTCGTCGTTTCGTTCGGGTGTTCCTGCTGTGTCCCGATTTCCCGCCTCTTTGGCTCCGGGGCTGTATGAGAGCCCTTGCCTTTTGTCCATGAAGCCTCCCAATCTCGGTTGTTGGCTTGTGAGCCCGTGGGTTCTCCTCATCCCGGGCGTCCCGACTGGTGTATGGACGGCATGGAGTAAACTCCTGGCAGGCTCCCAGCCCAGAAGAGTATCGGGCAGTCTGGGTATTATCTTCGGGTACCCTCTTGGCAGGAGATGCTGGTGGGAGAGATCTTACTTCAAGTCTATGCCAGAACGCTTGGCAGATTGCGTCAAACTTGCTTTCAAAAGCTTCCCTCCACTTTTGAGCCGGTGGGCCCAGGTTACTCTGCTTTGGTTGCAGCTCGGCGGCCATCTTGGTAGCGCCATGCAGGCTGTTTCTGTGCCGCTCAGGATCCGCTGGAGATAGGTATGTTGCTGCATGTTGGTGCTTCATTCCAGCGGGGACCGGGATATCCCCCACCGGTCCTAAGGGGGGGCGACGGGGCTCCAGTGTCGCTTTGAGCACGTTTCCTCCGCCGGGGGATCGGCCGCCTCCCCCAGACAACAGGCCGCGCACCTTTGAGTGTCGCCAGGCCTGGGACATGGTTTGCCAGTCGGAGCAGTAACAAGCTTAGCGGGGTCCGTGTGGCTGTGGGTATGTCTCGCTTGTGGTTTAGCCTTGGTACCCGCTTACAAAACACACAATTCCCTTCGATTAGTCTCAGGGTTGCCGGAGCTCCAGGCAAACACGTCCAGCCAGCTCGAGAGTCAGGCCCCGCCCCACATATATTTTTTTTATAAACCTGTGTTGTGTTTGCAATTTGGTATCCATGAGAGCAGAATATTTTTGTTAAAGGTTAAACAATAAAGACTATTTGTCACAGCCTTCTTTGCTCATATTTACCAAAGGTGCCAATATTAGTGAAGGGCACTGTATGAAGAGTTCCTATAACTTGGAAGTATAATCCAGATAGCAATGGTTCAGATCCACCAGGAGTGCATGGACAAATGCTCTGCCAAAAGCAATAGTAGTAAAAAAAAAAAAAGGAATTCAGTACAATGCCAATTTCAATAAGGTGATCATTTAAGGTGCCAAGAAAATAGGTGACTTTTAGGCCACACAGAGCATTTATGAAAACACAATACTACTCTAGAAGTTAGTTGCCTGTTAGTCCTACATAGCCGCTGCAGAACAGTGATCCGCAACTCGTGTGCCACAGCACTCCAATATACTGCAGTACTGTTCTGTGCATGCATCCTGATGGGGCCTTGCTCCAGGCGGTACTTTAACAGGGTTAGCATTGTACACGTTAACTCAAAGGTGGCCACTTATGATCTTATAGACGGCCACTTATGATCCTTGCCTTAGGGCAGACTGATTCATCATGCCCCCGGTCTGCGACCAAGGGCTCGGCAGCTTACCCTTTATGCAGCCGGTTGCGGGGTCCCTCCACTCAGTCTGCACAGGGTAAAGTAGGCCTAGCACAGCCTCATGTATGCAGACTATTAAGAGCTGTCAGTGAGCTCCAGCTGGTTTATGATGGCAATGCTTTAAAACTTCCTGTGCCTGAACTCATGAGACAACAACCGCATGGTCTGCAAATTTGCACCCAGCAGAGCTACATACCAGCTAGCAAGGCCACCATACCACCAGGGAGATGGCCTTTGGCCCAAAAGACCACCTGGAAGAAAAGGTATAGTGTGGGGAGGCTAGTCACACTATTACCCCCCAGCACCACCTCACACATTATCACCAATTCACCTTGCCACACTCACATTAACCCTGCCCCCTAATCCTGTTGTGTTAGCATTGGGCACTTGGGCTGTGACATATGTTTAAGGGTCAGCACCGACTGTAATATTTATTAATGAACATACAGACTAATATTTCCTAATGAGCACACTGACTGTGATATTTATTAATGAGTAAACTTAATGTGGTATTTTTTAAAGGGCAAACTTACTGTGGGTTTTTTTTAGTGTGCATCTGGTTTGGCATGTTTAATTGGCAAACTTACTGTGGTATTTATAAATGTTCAAACTGTGATATTTATTAATGGACAAGATTACTGTGGTATTTATTAATAGGCAAACTTACTGTGGAATATATTAATGGGCACGTGGCTTGGCAAATGTTTGATGGGTAAACTGACTGTGTTATATTTTTAATGGGGAAACTGACTGTGGTATGTCCTGTAGGGCATAGTGACACTTTTCTGTGTTGGCACTTTATTACTCCTACTTTTATATATTTTTGCTTGTGGTGTGATGCGGAATTCTGGCAAGAGCTTTGGTGTGCCTTAGGTGAGAAAAGGTTGAGCAGCACTTACCAAGAACACTGGGAGATTGCAGATGAACAAAAATTCAAATGCACAGACCAGAATTGCAGTGTTAACAATATAATTTAGTTTATACATTCATGCAGAGCGTGAAGACATGAACTTTAAATACAAAAGATAGGATAAGCACTAAGAAATAAGTTAATATAAACAGTGAAATAAGCTGCAACACTGAATGTAAGGAATACCCCTAAAGCCTTACTGACAAGAATCAAAACAATACAAAACACTAAAAACAGGTTGCACTGAATAATGTATGCATTAAGTCCAATAAAACAACTATTTTGAAGATCCTGCTTGGAATCATCCAGGCTTCAGTTGGTGATGAGTATATGTAACAAAACTGAAAATAACCAATAATAGTGCAGATGGTCATCAACAAGGCTATGTGTGATCACACTCACATTTGTTAGAGCTATAGAACAACGTACAGCGGTATAATCCCTACTGGTCGATATGTAGCTCTTTAGGGGTAAGTCTCACAGCATCCAGATGAATATTAAAAAGTAAAACATAAAGCAAACAACAGTGCTTACTGAGTAAAACTAAAAAGAGGGAAAACTATAAATGGTTATTTACTCACATTTTGTAGAGCAGTAACACCGCTGAATAGATAACGCTTGGGTGGAATGATCCCCACCAAGGATATAATGTTGAGTAGATTCTCCTGAAGGCAATCCTTGCCAGGGATTGGATGTAGAGTAGAGTTTTAAATGTGCCAGGAACAATAAAAAACTATAATAATTATAAAAAGTATAGTAAGCGTTCTTGTACTATAAAATAGTTGTGAGCCAAATAAACTTCAATGCTTGAAAACAAAAGTAAAACAGACACAACGCGTTGCACTTGAAGAAGCCCCTTGTTTGGTGAAACGCGTAATTGAAAAGCTGCAGGGATAGTCTCTTTGCGCCAAACCACTACATTAAGCTGTAGGGATTCTGGCGCTTAGAGTGCCCTTTTAAGTTGATTTAGTGTAAGTAGACTATTTGCAACATAGCTGCATCTGCTTTGCCACAAAAAAAAATCCCTTATTTTTTTCACTTATTAAAACAAGTTTGTTTCAGAAATAATGATGTGTTTGTTGTGTCTCTATGCTTTAAACTTAGACTTAGCCACAGCTTAACTATTTTACCCTCAAGTATTCTATGGGATTTAATTAGCAAAAATTCATAGTTAAAACTTTTTTGTGTCATACAGTTTAAGTAGTGTTTCCTGGGGTTAAGATGTGTATTTTTATTTGCCTCTGTTTTTTTTTTTTTATGTTATATTCTTTTGAAAGAAAATAAAATTCATTTACATACAATCTAGAAGATTTAAAAGGCTAATGGGTTAATTCCCATCTAAAAATGTTCACAAGCCGCAGAGCAAATTCTGATTTCCCATGCTTTATTTTAGTTTTGTTAGTAAACAGAACTAACAACCTTACCTCAATGTGATATGTTATCCCAAGAAACCACAAAGTATTTCTTCCAAATATTTTAGGAGAAAATGAAAGCACACATGCAGTGACAGTTACAGTGACAGTTCTGAAAAAATGCTGTTAGTTATACTAATGAAATACATTGCCTGATGTTGCATATTTATTTATTAATACTAATTAATTTACTAAGTTGGCATTGGTCCAAAATGGAAAAAAAAAATCACTGAAGCATTTCTATTTGATGCCCTATATCTAGACATATGCAATTCGCTTCGTTCCAAATGTAAATTCGGATGAATTTCGGCAATTCAATCCTATGGTCAAAGCTAGAGATGTCGCGAACCGTTCGCGAACGTCCCGCGAACAGCTCGCCGCGGATCGCGGCGAACCATTTGCGGCGAGCTCCGGTCAGCTGACACATCCCGGCCAATCTCCAGCAGGCCCTCCCTCCCAGACCCTCCCACATCCTGGACAGCATCCATGTTGAAGCTGCCTTCAACATGGATGCTGTCCAGGAGGTGGGAGGGTCTGGGAGGGAGGGTCTGCTGGAGGTTGGCCGGGATGTGTCAGCTGACCGAACGGTTCGCGACATCTCTAGTCAAAGCCGGCAGCTTAGATTCCTAACCTGGTAGAAAACCTAGAGGTCATGAAGTTTTATTCTGAAGAGAGCAGGAAGCGTGGGTGTCCACAGGGAGGGAGGGAAAGTTTGGCTAAAATTGTTCTTGCACAGTGTGCAATGCAAGTGAGCTTGCACTATGTTTAGCGTAACCTGGCTGCTTCTTAGAGTCCGAGTCACTCTCTTGCTACACAGGTGACATCAGACAAGAGATGGCAGCAGGGGACACTGTAGATAAAAAGTATACATACAGGCTGACTGCTGAAGCGACTGTTAGCATGATCCTAGCGCTCCCACAACTAACGGAAAAAATCAGGCATTATCGCTAATTGAATCAGACTCACGGTGTTTTGGGGGACCCCCCTTTCTGCCCGGATCATTATGGGACGCAAAATCAAGAAGCCGAAACCAGAAAAGCCCAGTCCGGGGCTAACAATCGGCGATCTGTGGCAGCAGGCACATGGCGCAACTGGGCCCAAAATGGCCACTCTCTCTGGAGGCTGCTCAGACTTTTCAGATGAATTCTCACTGGGAGCCGAAGAGGAGTACCCCACCGCACCAGAGTCTCAGAGGATATCCCAGAAGCCAAGCTACCAGATTTTGTGAGGCGTCTGATGGGGGCCTTACTGCAACCTCGACAAGCCAAAGCAGTGGTGATAGAAGGACAGTTCCATATACCCAAACCCCTCAAAGCCCCGGCCACAGCCTTAAAAGACCTAGTGATCTGCTTCAGAAACTGACAAAACAGTGGTCCTGGCAGCTCTGAAGGGGAACTCCCCTTACCTCTTTGAGAATATGCCTCTTACATTTTACGCAGACTTCTCGGGTGGCACCGTAGCTTGGTGGAGCACTCTCAGGCCATTTACCGCACTGCTGCAATGGAGAAATATCCGATACCAGTGGAGGCTCTCCCGCACACTAATCATATTCCAAGGAAACACTCGGCACCCTATACACGACCTCCACGAGGCTAAGGGACTGTTGCATACCCTTGGCCTGCCCCATGAGGCACTCACGCAGGAGACACAGGGCTCAACACCGAACTCCCCCTGCTCTTGGGATCCGGCAAGAGTCTCCCCTTTTGTCCCACGACAGCACACCCCTGATCTGTATGCAGCGGTCACAACCTGAGCATAGACAGCTCATTAGATATTGTTTTGTGCCTTTATTGCTGTAAAATTGTAAAGTAAAGCATGTTGCCTTGAACCTGGGCTGAGCGTGGGAATCCTTATGCAGAACTTATGCCATACTTACATTATATTTCCGTTATTTCCATGTTAGTTTTCTGTTGCCCTATTACACATGTTCTAATATATGTTTTGTTTAACACACTGTATTGTCAGTGTATTACCACCCTTGATCTCTCTCCTGACATATAAGTCTAAAATCCCACCAATTTCACCATATCTGCCTGTTTCACTACAGGCTCGGCATACTCGGATGTTAGATTTATATAAAACATGTGCCAATATCTCAAATGCCACATTACCGTTCATCATCTCTATGTCATGATTATGCCTGTCGTTGCTGCTGTGTCAAGACAAACTTGTGTTATTACATGTGGACAACAAAAATATAGAATAATAAAAAATAAAACAAAAGTATACAAACAGGAGATAAGAGATGGCAGGGAACATAGTGGATGAATAAAACACCTAACAGGGAAAATAAATGGCAGACTTGGAGGAATAGAGGGTATAAAGGGGGAAATAATTGAATAATGTTAACATTAAAAAAGATTAGAACTTGCAATACTCATATCAGATAATGGCAACTTGATTCTTCTGTGATGCTTTTACATCAGGTTTCTCAACTCTGTGCATTTCTGCGCATTATGTAATAATGACATTGTGAAAAAGGGGCTGAGCATGGATGTCATTAAAGTTATCCCCACCTGGTAAAATTTCTGCGGACGCCCATTGCAGGAAGTATTGCAGGAGGTACAGCAGGAAGTGGTCACTGGTTTAGGCTTTAGGAGAAAAGGGTATTACCAGGGCTTGAACTGGTACAGACTGCTATATCTAAGACACTATTTGCTGAATAACTAAGCTCTGAGAGCATTGTGTCCAGGATATTTGCAGGCAGGGGTATCACCATGGCTCATGCAAATCAGCTGTTTTTCTTTGGAGACTTGGAGCTGTGCCACATCAGTGTTACTGCAAGATGGGGTGCTCTGACATCATGCTGACCTTCACAGACATAAATTGATGCATAGGTGATACTATCACTACAACACCACCATTGTGTGTGAATGCTGCCTGCCAAAGACCATACAATGCCTATCCTGTAGATATTAGCAAGCAAACCCTTATAACAATGCAATCAAAAACAATTATATGCCTATTACAAGATGAAAGTCAGAAGTCAGCCATATTTTATTTATTTTGCTATTGGTGTGTTAAAAACCAGAAATATTCCTAATGAATAGCAATAGCAAAATAAGAGCGCATGCACTGGGGATTTGGTAAACACGAGGCAAATATATTTATCAAAGTGTTCTGTTCTAAAAATTTGTGTAAACATCTAAAAAGGGAGCATGTCTCACAACAATTGCACCAGGATGGGGTGGGTGGGGCCCTAAGGCAACATCAACAGTGAGTGGGTGGGCCCTAAGGCGACATCAACAGTGAGTGGGTGGGGCCGTAAGGCGACATCAACAGTGAAAAGGAAAAGCTGTTTGGCCGGTCCCCAGCCTTCAGGACTTTGCAGGGAGCGCTGCTGATGTACTACCTAAATGGTCTTGGGGATGCACTATCGCTGTGCTGACTGTGCATAGTCCCCTGGTGTCCCCAGATGCATGACACCAGGGAATTAAAGCGGGATAGGACCCCAAAATCGGGACTGCCCCACTAAAGCAGGTCTGTTGGGGGGCCTAGGGGAAGAGTCTCCAATGGAATATGTCTGTTGGTGCCACTGGTTTCCATCATAATTGCCCCACTTATAGTACTTTAAGCCACTTTTCAGAACAGAATATATAAAAACAACGGTCTCCCTAGTGTATAGTTAGCATTCACAGCTCTTACAATGTAAATAAAAGGACAGAGTTCCCACTCCCTTTAACTGCATTGTTCTGTAGAATCCTTCAGTCTGCAGGAAGGAAATGTGATGGAGTATTCTTAAATAGGATGTATCACATTTCAAATGCATGTAGTTTAAAGTTCTCCATTATAATGTTCTTTTAAGATTGTGTTTAATACCTTTATATTCTAAGTTGCTAAAATCATCTGTGCATTCCTTAGTTTATCAATTTTCTGCAAACAAAAGAGTGTCTGATTCCGATCATAACTTTCCCAGACTATTGACGTTTGTGAAGAACTTGCATAGTAAAAGGTCACAAGATACACCTAGCACACAATTACCTAGCAAGCAACTCACCAAAACATGTAATTATGACAAATAAAACAAAAGACTCTTTTTCTGGGTGGCTGTGATTTTTAAATTGGTATGCATTACTTGACAATTATTTTTGTAAATCAGCAAGCAAACACTTAAAAAAAAAATGTAAAAAAAATAAAGTAAGAAAAACCTTGAAAAGCATGTAATAAATGTTTAAAAACTTGGTCAGGAGAGGAAAACTTCAACACTGTCTAACCCTGCCGGATTACGTACATGACGGATTGACAGATCAAAGTGGGGGGCAGGGACAGGGCAGACGGAGAGGGAACAATGCCTGAGCTACCTGGGCAAGCTCGGGATACCACACACAGACGCATAGGCCAAGGCAACGCCATACACTCATCGCAGTCACCCTGAGAGCCTAGGGCACAACACACTCCTCAATAAGTCGACAGTTGTACATAGTTATTTCTTTCCTTTCAAATATCTTTCTTTCTCTTTCTCCTTATCTGATTATTAATGTAAATGAAAACTCTGGCAGAGATGCACAAAAGGTGCACAGTTTGTGACAGATGCTTGTACTAACTTTGTTACCCTGTATTTTATACTACGAATCAACAACACTTGTGCGGTCATGTATTCACATCTGTTTGCACTATTGTAGCCACGCTTGAATGGCAGAGCGAAAAATAACGAATTTAAAAAACAAACAAAAAAAACTTGGTCAGATTGTATTATTGGGCACGCCTCTCAGCTAGGGGAGTTTCTTCAGTTTCCCCTTCTCTCTTGCCAGCACATCAACTAATGACAGAAAACAGAGCAACATTGTGACAAATCTGACCAGTGCCTGCTGTGAATCACACTGATCAGTCAGTCTCTTCTTCCCTTGTCAGGATGTTGCAAGGTGAGGAGATCCAACTGCACATGTGCAAACCTGTCAGGCATACCCAATGCACTTTTTCAGTGAAAGAAGAAGTTGGTATCATATTTACCTGCTTTTTTTCAGCCTGAAGAGTGAGGTAAATGTCTCATTCAAATGACAGTTATCGCAATGCAAGTAATTGCTTGGATAGCTTACATTTGAAGTATAAATTAGCAGATTTATTTTGTAACCTGTGAAAATTGAAATCACAAATTTTAACATTGTCAAAATTGGTTAACCTGAAACAAAAAAGATGAAGTTGTATTTATTTGGTTGCCTGTTAACACAATGCCATGGTTTGTAAATTAAGTCATTGGTTGTGCCAGTAAATATATTAAAGTTAATTTAATGATCTTTAAAAAAAAAATTGTTCGATGCCCCAAAGATATAATGCAAAACCGAGTAACATCACAAGAAATCCCAAAAATGAATGCAAGCCAAATCAGGATACCAGAGAACAGGATAGTCAACCAAACAAAGTCAGAAAATCAATAAATCAATCAGAATATAATAACAAGCATAATGATCACTGGAACCACAAAATGACTACCATGTCTCCTTTGGTTCTAAGCTTAAAGGACCACTATAGGCACCCAGACCACTTCAGCTTAATGAAGTGGTCTGGGTGCCAGGTCCAGCTAGGATTAACCCTTTTTTCTTTAAAAATAGCAGTTTCAGAGAAAGTGCTATGATTATAAATGGTTTAATCCAACCTCTAGTGGCTGTCTCATTGACAGCCGCTAGAGGGCTTCCGCGCTTCTCACTGTGAGAAGACGTCAGCGTCCATAGGAAAGCATTGGGAATGCTTTCCTATGGACTGGCTGAATGCGCGCGCGGCTCCTGCCGCACATGCGCATTCAGCCATGGAGGAGGAGAGTCCCCCGCCCGGCACTGGATAAATAGGTAAGTTTAACCCCTTCCACCCCCTAGGGGTGGAGGGGGACCCTTAGGGTGGGGGAACCCTCAGGGCACTATTGTGCCAGGAAAACTAGTATGTTTTCCTGGCACTATAGTGGTCCTTTAAATAGAGCTGAATTAGACTGACATTTTGTCTATTATGCTGCTACAAAAGAGGCTGACCTTTGGTGTGGCTGAAGCATTGACGGATTGTTTTCCATTAGAAAAGCCAGCACTCAAATGAGCAATGTGGACTACCTTGCAGGGGGCAGCAAAAAATGTGATGTAGTTGCCGTGACAGTAGTGCAGGACTCACTGCCATTGGGGGATCGAAGGGCGAGTAAGAGAATCTTAAATTTAAATAGCAAATACTTGTCATACATGGATAGTTTAGACGTTAAGATTTGACCTTGGATCTCATAACTTTAATTCCATTGACAGAGCCTTACAATAGTTTTCCAGAATCTCAGTGTCATGCTGTCTGTACAGAACTCTTAATTATCAAATATAAATAACCTATACATTATTAATATATCTGTTCCTAATTAGTTTTTCATAAAATACACTCACATGCCCAGTGGTGGACCTTCCCAGAAAATGAATTAAAGGGGTCTGTCTGGCCAATCTCCAACCTATACGGTTCTAATGATGCATTTGTGCTATGCTTGAGGATAGTACCCAGGGCTGCCATCATAACCTTTTGGGGCCCCTGACACAGCTCAAGATCTGGGCCCCGCAGGGCCTGCCCCCGAGTCCACCCACAGGGTGGACCCCCAAGTCCGCCCACAGGAATGCAGTGTGTGTACGGATTGTGGTGTGTCTGAAGTGGATGTAGAATGTGTGTAGTGGATGCAGAGTTCGTGTGTAAAGTGTATGCGGTGTGCATAGTGGATGCAGATTGTACAGTTATGTAATGTATGAGGTGTATATTAGATGCAGTGTGTGTGTTTGTGTATTAGTGTAGTGTGTGTGTGTGTGTGTAGTGGATGTAGTGTTTGTGTGTATTAGATGCAGTGTGTATAGTGGATGCAGATTGTACATTTTGTATAATGTAATGTACATTTGTAGAATTTTGATGAAAGTCAATGAAAAGATTGAAGTCCAGAATAATCTAAGGGACTGCTCATTGGGAAAGTTCCAAGCTCCTTCCACTAGTTTTATTTTCATGTTTATAGACTATAATCTGCTGGAACAGTTTAATTTCTTGTTAGAGCAAATGTCCTATAGTTTAGTTTAGACACCGCACAACATTAACCCAGTCAAACCGTCTGCATTTAGTCTTATTGTATGTTTTTTCACAAGGTGTCTTGTGCTGCAACCAATGTGCAGAACTATCCTCACAGGATCTCATCACAGCATCTGTTCCTTGTTATATTAGAAACAAGATCCATGCACAATGTACTTTTCCATTACAGCGTATTAATCATTTATAATGCAATGTGTTGCAGACCACCCTAAGAGTGCACAGGGTCTTTGATTATTCAAGTGTAGTATATATCAAACCATACATTTTATTTTTTTTCTTTGGCTGTCACAATCGACAAATTTTTAATTTAGGAGCGTTATAATATACAATGGCAGATCCCTTTGTACAGAAATTAATTTTGGCTCAATGGTATGTTGTATTACACATTCAGTAGCAGTTGGGATCTTTGAGCTGACAATCTAATGATTTGTAGCCTTGGCAAGCACAGGATAAGCATGTGATCACATGAAAAAACAAAAATTAGATGCTTCTGGCACTTTGTACACATTTAACCCCTTAAGGACAAAACTTGTGGAATAAAAGAGAATCATGACATGTCACACATGTCGTGTGTCCTCAAGGGGTTAAGTTATATAGAGTATCTTCTTAATATAATATTGTAACCCCATAAAATCATTAGATCTATTCCCAATTTCCATATTGGTTTCTTTGAGGATGGTGTGTGGCAATGAATCAGAAGTTTAATATTTGATATAGAATTAGAATAGCTATGGAATGGGTTGACCAAGATCCAGTAAACAATGAGACTTTCGTTAGGTATAATGGCAGAGGTTTATCAAAGTGTGGTATTTAAAAAAAGTGGTGCATAGATATTAAAGGGAAGGAGTCATCAATGGAATATGCCTGCTGGGTCCATTGGTCTCCCTGGTGATTGACACATCTTTAAAACTTTAAACCATTCTTCAGAATAAAAGCTCTGCAATGATAAATGAATGTGCATGTTGCCATCCATTTTGCATATGTACATTATTTGCTGTAATGGCCTGCACTCTATTTAGTCTGGGCCTAATGACAGTAGACCATACCTTGGTAGGTCAGAAATGATTTGTCAATCCTGTTTATATATATACAAAATAATTAGACTATCAGGGTTATTTACTAAAGTGAGAATTCCTGGGAATCCAAAGTGATTTTCATAATTTAGGCCGGAATAACTGAATTAGAAACATTCAATTCTGTTTTCAGTTTGGCTATTTTGGCCTTACATTTGAAATTCACTTTAAATTCACTGGAAATTCCCAGCAATTCTCTTTTTTAGTGAATAACCCTGTATAGCAGGTTAATTCATTAAAATGAGAATTATGAATTGGCAAAACTGCCAAACTTGAAAGAGTCTCTATTTCAGATTTTATTTTGTCAGTTCAGCTAATTTCTTAGTTTTCCTTAATATCCAGTTCAGTGTATCAGTCCTACCAGTTCCCTAATTTTTTTTTAGATATTTCTAGTCTAAATATGTAAATCTTATTAAAATATTAACCACACTATTATTGGACTTTTTTTTTCTATCTGTTCTATATCTTTACTCTGCAAGAGCTTATCTTCACATAATGACAATGATAATTCCATTGCAGGCTGTCTGAGTTTCCATTGACAAAAAAAAAGCATTACATATACAAGTTAACCACGTCACTGGTAAACTCACTGACTGTGTCATTGATCACCTGGGTTTTTTTTTGTCAGCGTTTCTATTTCTGCATTCTTCAATTACTTCCTGTTGGTTTGTGGGATATAGTTAATGCAATAGCTGAATTTTTTATAAAACTACTAAGCTCATAAATGCTCCAAGTAGTTTTTCATGAAAGAAGTAAATTGTGGCTTTCTTAAAGATCTGAGAGAGCCCATACAAGTTAGTGACTACTAGGGATGTGAAAGGACAAAAAATTTGTTTCGGTTCGGAAATTTGGGTCGGTTCGGCACTTCCAAAATTTGGGACTTCGGCAATTTGGGACTTCGGAATTCTGAACATCTGTAGGGCTCCCTAACCCTACCCCTAACCCTACTCCTTACCATACCCCTAACCATACTCCTACCCCTGTCATCATTCACATAATTTTCCCTCCCTCTCTTGTTTTGCCACTTTTCAGAAATCCAAAGCACATCGGCACTTAAGAAATTCTGCAATTCAGTCTGGCACTTCGGAATTTCAGCACTTCAGCACTTCAGACATTCAGAAGCGTCAGAATGTCCGAATTGCTCAAACTTTGCCCGAATTCACATTTCGAACGAAACGAATTGCACATGTCTAGCGACTACATACATGACTGAAGACTCAATACATGTACATGTATACCGTTAAGGGAAGCATAGCTATGATATAATCAAGGAAGGTTGTAGGCTAATAGCGCCATCAAATTAGTGCAGTTATAAGGATCAGGTTGAAGAGAGACAAGGACAAGGTGCCTTCTTTTATTTCTACCTGTATGTAGAACATAGGTGCACATGACGCATAGAGTGTCTCTTTTTGTGTTCGTTATGTAGAAGTCCCTGATGTTGATGTTGGAACTTGTTTAGTAATATGTAGATTTTAGAGTTGTTTGTCTATAATAATCTGTCGCTTGTGTTAAAAAACAAGTTACAATTGAAATTCTGCTACTAAAATGGAGGGTCAATGTCAAGTCAAGTGCCATAATAGCAACACTGTCATGGCACAGCATTCCTAAGAGTGTAGTATTATTGGAGTACAGAGGCGTAATTAGAGCATTTGGCGGATCCTGTATTTTGCACCCCTAACTTTAACATGTTAAAAACACCCACAATTTTTTGGATGTTTTCAAGAATATTTATTGCACAAATATATAAATTGTATGTTACAAAGAACCCCCTCAAGGCCCCATGAGAGACTACAATGGAGTCTAATGGGAACTGGAGAAGGGTCTCTCCGACACTCCCCATTTACAACATGTAAATACCCAGCTGAAGTTGGCCCTTTCATCTTAATTACTGTTGCCTTCTGGCTGCTGTGGCTGGCAGGCTAGCTGGCTGGTTGTAAGGCAGGCAGGTTGGCTGCCTCTGCCCTCTTTCTTGCCCCAGCAGCCGTCTGTTTCTCTCCCAACCCCTTTGTGTGTCTCTTTTTTCCCTTTCCTTCTGTGTGTCTCTTCTCGCCAAGCCCTTTTGTTAGCCTCTTTGTCTCCACCGGCGCCTTTGTATGTCTCTTTTTTCCCCCAGCCCCTTTGAGCATCTGTTTCTCCCACAACCCCCCCCCCGTACTTATATGTGCCTCTTTGTCCCCATCCAGCCCCTCTATGTATGTGTCTTTTTGCTCTCCAGCCCTTCTGTGTGCTTCTTTGTGCCACCAAGCCCCTATGTGTGTCTTTTTGTGCCCCTATGTGTGTCTCTTTGTCCCCCTTAATACCCTTTGTGTTTCTTTGTTTTCTCTCAGCCTCTCTGTGTCTGTTTGTGCCCACAGCCCCTCCGTGTGTCTCTTTGTCTCCCTTCAGCTCCTCTGTGTGTGTCTCTGTCCTTCCTCAGCCCCTCTGTGTGTCTCTTTGTGCTCCTATCCCCTCTGTGTGCCTCAAACAGAATTAAACTCTGAGAAACAAATTTGGATCTCCTTGCGCTTTGCATTGGGATATCCAACCTCTCCAAAAAAAACCCTTAGGAAAGCATTGGTACAGTGCTTTCCTATGGGGAAGCCCTTTTGCCTGGGGAGAGTATGAACATTTGATTTCCCCATCGGTGAAAAAAAGGAGTTTTAACCTTGCATGCCTGTAGGTAGGGGGACCTAGTAAGTTAGGGCCCGGGCATTTTTTGTATTCCAAAAGCTATAGTGTTGCCTTAACAGTGAATTTAAAAATGTTGCTATATTGATGCTGCACCATGACATTGCTCAAATGACACTGTATATTTCAGAATTAAATTTTATAAGCACTATTTTCAACAGTTATTGCGAAAGTCTTTATTTTGCTGTATTGCTATAAACCTTAGAAAGCATGGATATTAATCACACAGAAGGCTCATTTGAATAGTGAAGCGGAAAGGATTTAAAGACTTAATAGGCTCTGTCATAAGGCATGCGGCTCAGTGACGTTTCCATGCAGTCTTGTTAACCCCTTATCATCTAACAACATTCTGTAAATTCCAAATCAGCAAATATAGTCATTCTTATTTAGTTTGATACCGTTTTAAAAAGAATTAGGCCAGAATAGTTAAAATAGTTAAAAAAAAAAAAATTTGCAGCTTGAATATTTTAGCTGAAACTTTTCCACATGGTTGCCAGTTCAGCCTAACTTGCAGTTTAGTGTATAAACCACAAAAAGCACAGTGCTATAAAAAAATAAATCATATAGTAAAGTCCTAAAATTGCTGACACTTACTCACTAAGCAGTGAAATGAGAACTTAAAGACACACTAGACCACTTCAGCTCATGTGTTGCAGTGTTCCTGTCACACTTAGTCCTGCAGTTTTGAGAAACCGGACTTTAGGTCACCTAACTGACACTCAACGTCATTATGCTCTGCATGAGCACATCCAGTGTCAGTAAAATCCCTATAGGAAAGCATTGAGTCAAGGCCTAATGTGCTCGGCGCTGGAATCAGGAAAGTAAATATAGTTGTTGGTTTTTTTTACTTTAACTAGTGGGGGAGATTTGTATTGCTAGCACTATAGTATTCCTTTAACCCCTTCAGACCGGAGGGCGTACTATTACGCCCTATTATAGGCGGCTCTAAACGCCGCTGGGCGTAATAGTACGCCCTCCGGTCTTTCGGTACTTACCCGGTCGCCGGCGGTCCCACGCCGGCGATCGCGGTGGGGGGGACTCCCAGGGAGCTCCCTGCGGCACTTCCGTCCTCCACGAAGCCCCCCGGCCATGTGAGAGTGGGGTCCTTGCGAGGACCCCACAATCACATGGCCGGGGATAGCTGGCTTCTGTATTGCCAGCAGGGGGGCTGCCTGTAATGACAGGTGGTCCCCCTGCTGGCTGAAAATAAAATTAAAACAAATAAATGGTGTAAAAAAATAATAATATATACTTAGATCATATATATATATATATATATATATATATATTATATATATGATCTAAGTATATATATACACATATACATACACACATGTACACCGTCTAGGTGTATTTTACTATTAATATATATATAATTATATATATATATATATATTAATATCAAATTACACGTAGACTGATACTGATTATTATTGTTATATATATATTTATATATAATATAAAAAAAATTAAAATGTAAATACGTTAAAAAATAAAATTAAAAAAATAATTTAA